CACTGACACAAGAATGGTGTTCTTAGGCAGTTTAGTCTTCTCGATGAAGTTAAGAAAGTCTATTATATCTTTAAGATACGAGGCTTGTCTTTGTGCTATCTGAAGAAGGTGGTCAACAAAAGATGAGATCCTTACTGTAGGGCCGTCACACCCTGATATAATAGGTCTACCGACAGGTGTCGGTTTGTGAATCGTTGTAAGTGTGTGAAACATTGGTATTCGCGGAGGGTCGGGCGTAAGGGAGAGCCATTTAGCCGTCATTTCGTCTATGTGGCCTTCTTGAAGTAGTGATCGAATCAATCGATGAACTTTTTTGGCCGTGGTGTCAACCATAGGTTTGTTTATGTATATCATCAAGTTGGACTTGACCCTCGCTGAGTTTATCTGTTGTGTTTATTATGACGGTTGTGGTACCCTTATCGGCTTTCCATGCATTGAGGGGCATTTAAACCGGAAGTAAAATTTGTAGCTATTCATGATTTTTTCAGCTCGGCTTCTGATTGGCCGATTCAAAAAACGTCTTGGTGACGGTTTCCGTAGTCGCTGCAAGAATTTAATATTGCGATCTTATTCATCTTGTTCCGTTGCTCTTGTTCTTGTTCTCATGCGAATGTAAATGTAACAAATAAAAATTCCTAACATTTGTACTGTGGCTCGCATGGCTCGCATGGCTCGCATGGCTCGCATGGCTCGCATGGCCCGCCCCTTGGCTCGCAGGTTTACAAAACTTTCCACGTTAAATAAAGCATTCATTCATTCATTCATTTAAATTTATTACACATTTATTTCAACACTTAATGACTTGAACTTACATTTTGGTACGTGACAATACTTAGAGTATTTTACATTATAGCATCACGTTACATATTACATATTATATAACAAATACTGTCACAAGCCAATACGCTTTTCTTCATGGTCTTGAGTTGACATATGACAGACCGGAAAAACAATAATAGGCTCTTTGCAGCTGGGGTTACGTACACTAATTTTGACTACAAAACGCTTGTATTATGGGCTATAACTAAAAGAACGGCCGAAATGGAAAGAGTATATCGAAAATAGCAAAATTGCCAAGTTTGCGGCCCCTAGAGTGAAAGAGTAAGGTTATTAGACAGTTTGAATTTTCGGAAAATTTAAAGAATTACTATGGAAAATGTTGCTGGAGAGCGCGGTCTGACTTTCTAACAACTTTTTCCATACAAATCTTTTTAATTTTTTAAAAATCCAAACCATCATAAAATACCATTCTTTATCGTCAGGGGCCTCAAACTTGGCCATTTTGATATTTTTGACATGTGTTTCCCATTTCTGGCATTCTTTAAGTTACAGCCCATAATTTTAAGAAAAGTAGGTCACGTGATGGCCTAGCTGCAAAGGGCCTATAAAATTAATAACAAATTAGTGGTTTGACGGAGCTGCGAAAAAGCTCGTAATTCATTCAATTAAGTTGAAAATATTCCAAGATGATGAGGAATTTCCTGATTTGTTCCACTAAAACATCTAGTTCCTCCAGTGATGTGTAAAGGACACCCCCAGTACTTGGGAAAGGGGCGAATGTCTGGTGTCCAGTAAACCCTACCTCACCCATTTCAAACAAAAATGGTCAAAATTTGTTTCCCAGCTCAGATAAGAAGTGAAGGACATCGATTGAAGGTTTTATCTTCTGATTCAATTTCCGTTTTTGAGGCTTTTGAATTCATTTGCTTATCATAATCCTTCAAAAGGTATACTCTGACTTATATATTCTCTTGAATCTGGTATTATTATAATTCTGCGGTTCTGCAGGTCCTCTGGCTCAGAGAAGTACTGTTGTAAGCCCTTGTATATGTTCTTGTCATTTTCACCTTCCTTGTTTGGATCCATACGTGTTCAAATTATCTGCTTGAAGGAAATTTGATTGCATCCTGCTAGGCTACAGGATGGATATGTCAAGGACAACAACAAGTTTCACCTTCCAGGCACCTTAAATTGTGCTTTTTCATTTTCTAAATGGGGATGTGGATTAATAAAAAAGACAGCACCTCCTATAGAATGCACCAGTTATTGCTACCCGCAGTTATCAATACTTCTACAAAAAATTGTTGTCATTCTGCAGTGGCATGAAAACAAACTCTCTTATGAAATGGTTTCAATGTTGTGTATTCATTTTGAGGCAATGAGACCTTCTCCACTGATGTGTAGATATATTACTTAATTCAATCACTTTCAGTAACTACAGTGAAACCTGTATTTAGCAGACACCCTTGGAACATTCACAAGTGTTAACTCTTTTGTAACACAGTGTAACACAGTGTAAGATCAAACACTGGTCATAGGAGAATGTCCAGTCAGTCAATGCATCAATCTGGAATAATCATTTAGCTTTAAAATGATATCGCTGAACAATGTTAAAGGGGTCTCAGCTAGACCTTTAGAAGTAAAAACCTCTTGAAGTGTCAGCTTAATGCAAGTTTTGTGCAACAAAATAGCTTAATATCGGCGTCTACGTCCGCTTAACAGAGGTGCAGGTTTATTTTACAGTGAATGTGGGAAGAAAATGTTGAGACTTCAGCTGGTGTTTACTTAATAGAGGGTGTCCGATTAATATGGGGTCCGCTTAATACAGGTTTCACTGTATTCCAGAGTTCACTGACCATTGTGTACTAAATCTTCAACATCTGTTACTAATCCAAATGTATGGCAACTTCAAGATGCCATCTAAACCCTTTTGTCCATTCTAGCCAGGAATTGACTCATTTTGATTTCTCTTCTACAGGTAACGCATATAAACTTTCTTCATAGGGGGGTGGCGGGCTGTGCTCTGTGCTACCTGTTATGAAAAAAATTACCACTGAATTTAATGCTCACAGTTATGATAAACTTGCAACAAAAAACATTGGAATGAAAGTGAAGAATGATCATTGCAGTAAATTTTCCAATTTAAGCAGCTGGAAAGAAGCCTGAAAAAAAATCAGGGCTTCAACGGGATTCGAACCCGTGACTTCCGTGATACCGGTGCGATGCTCTACCAACGGAGTTATGAAGCCACACACTGGGAGCGAGGTCAATTAACTGAGTTCATATCTTTCTGTGAGGAGTGAAATGATGTGAAGTATATATGAAATAATTCATATTTGAACTGCAGTTGTAGATGAAAGTGAAGAATGATCATTGCAGTAACTTTTCCAATTTAAGGTCATTCCACTGAGATAGAACCTGCACTGAGATTTATGTGAACCTTTACTTTGCCTATTGATTGTTTATATTATGGGAACTTAAATTTTGAAATAAAAATGAGGGGTACCCATGTTCGTTTAGGAGCAACAGCACCTTGTTTATACCCATATAAATCCTTATAATAGCACCATGATTG